AATCAAGACTCAACCACTACAATGAGCAATGCTGCAACTTCAAAATCTTTGCAACTAGTACACATCTGTTTCATTGCGAGCACAAGACTCATTGACTCAATCATCTGGAAAAATACCTGTTGAAATTCTCATGGTCATTGCAACTATAACATAAGAAGAGCCGCGTGCAAATCGTATACTCACCTGTGTGCTCCTTCACGACCAAACGCATGTAACCAATGAAACCATAGCTTCTGCACACCAGCAGCGGTATCCCAGCATTCCATAGTGTGGCTGCTAAATCTAGCAAGGTCCTGTCAAGGTTGCATTCAACATACAGCACAGATTTTATGGGAATCTTTATAGTGATCATATGCACAATACTCATTGTGGAATCAGACAGAAATGAGCATAAGGGAGTTACGTTTTGTTACCAGTATTTTGGCGGACTTTTATAACAGTCAAATATTATAAGGCACAAAAGGCCACTCAGGGTGAGGGTTACAAGAGGAAGAGATGTAAATAGGGAAAAGTATGTGCAGGAGTGAAAGACAAGTTTCAATTATGAGTCAAATTTTCATGTTACACTTGAACTGGGAGTGGTTATAGACAGTTGAGAACTGGATAGACATAATGAATTTCAAAGGACAGACATACGGAATTTCAAAGTAAAGCAGCGCGCCGCAGGGAACTTGAAGAATGCATTTCTGAAATAGCTTTTGGGACAGTGACTCTACATTTGCATGTACTGTTAGTTAACAAATACATATCGATAATATCCGATATATTGATTTTGCTTTGATATCGGTATGAACGATACCAATTTATCATTGGAATCGATATAGAAAGCGCCCATATAATGAAAAAAATGAAGCTATAATACTAAAATTGTTGTTGTTATTGACAATATTTTGTCTTGAAATAAAAGTCTCCATTTTTCGTGGCCAAGAATAGCAGTCAGCAAATTCACCTTTGATTTGTTTTTTCTCTTCACAAAAGCTTATAAAAAGTAGTAAAAAGTATTCAGCTATGTGGTGTGCGATGATTTTTTGCATTGTTACATACATTTGGCAGGGCACCTTTGCACACACGGGAAAAAGCGTAAATAAATAAACTGTCAAACACCCTTGTGTCTGGGTGCCAAACCTCATTGGTTATTAAACGCGCGGCGCAGCGGAGCTTTAAAAGCCGGAAGCCATGAAGCTCGAAGATCGTTTTACATATGGCTGTGACTTCAACATTAGTGGTACTTGTGTATTCTTGCATATATGACACCGGACAAAATCGTCGAGTGGTTAAGAAATAGCCATTGCCGGAACTTGTATGAATGAGGCATCAGATTCATGCTCCCTCTCTGCATATGCGCAGTAGTATGGGTGATATATATTCATGTCGTATTGTGGCGTAGCAATTTCATCAATGGTGCCTGGTTGAAGGAGGAACTTGCTGTTCTGGGAAGCAATGCATGAAGTGGACTGCTCAGATCACGGACTGGCCGGAGTATGCATGCCTTTGCATTTGAATCCCGTTCTGACAGCAGGCTGCTGGAGTTGCCAGGTGCTCTTTTGTTTAGGGAAGATTAAAAAAGCACGCAAATTCCAGCAGACTTATCGCGTGCTGCATGGTTAGGACCAATTGGTAGGGGCCTAAGCCGTCTAACTGCAAAAGGTGTTTGGAATTATGCCATTGGTTTTGAGCTTACGAACATTCTCCGAAAATCCAATATATCGGTATTATCAACATCGGGCTGCTGATATATCAATATCAGCAATTATCTATAATCCCACGGAGCTTAGTATAATTACTCCATCATTTCAATGGAAGGAACAACGGCTGTAAAGAAGTGTCATGTACTTGTACATGTAGAAAAATGTAGACCAAAAATAAAAGACAACAAAGGTCTACCACAAGCACAGGCCAAGTAAGGATGGTAAAACTTCAAAAAGTAGAACCCAGCTGGCAATTATCAGCACTAATCTTTTACTGTTGGGCATTTTACATACTGTTAGTTACAGAGAGATGGCATGGAAGTACACGTACATGTACGCAAACTAGAAAGGTTTTCAAAAATTACAAACGGTACAAGCACACGTCTTACCTTTCAACAAGATCTGTAGCTATGACAATACTGAATGATGTAAAATACTGCGGGTTGTTCTCCAAGAGCTGCTCTGGGCTCTAAAAGTAGGTACAAACAGCAACATACAACATGTATCTCTTGTCATTTAGGGAACATTGACACATCCACAATACTGAAAATTGCACAGATTAGTGTTTCCCTGGAGCATCTGGCCATCTGTGTCATCTTGTGAATAACCTTCAGCTCCTCCCTACATTTGGTCCATTCTGAAGTCAACTGCACGCGATAGCTGCACGTACACATGAACAGATTTGCATTAGTGAGCAGACTAAGAGCTACTTGTTTCTGACTTAAAAGCCCAATGATTGTAAATGACAGAGAAAGTGAAACTTGAAAGTATCTAGTACATTAATGGGGGAAATGTTACTGGCGTACGGACTAGACCCGTATAAAATACTGTATACTTTTCAGTCAGAAGACCTCAATGCACATGCAGGTCATTTTAAAAGATCTCAAAAACTGGGTGAATTCTGGAGAGCAAACTTCACTGAGATAGAAACTAAGTACCAGATTCTACTATGGACACTGCATAAATATTTGCAGAATGATATGCTGAATCTGATGCTGTTACAATGTACATGTACATGCAGGTGCACTCTTAAATCCAGACATGAATCAGAGGCTAAGTCCAATTTGAACAGCAGCCATCAGTCAACCTCTGGCTGATTTGGCTCGGGGCCTCGGTTTAATTTTGTGCAAAGGCTACTTGTAACTGACAAAATTAGCAAAACTGTAGCAGATCAAACTCGATTTACAATAAAATATATTGGTGAAACTGTATGGAACTTATTGCAAAGAAAATATGCATGGATTTGAACTTATTTCTGTGTATGATATGCAACACAGATTCTGAGAACGTTTTACGTAAAATGTTTTATGTACCTTTAAATTAAAATGAATCAAGGGGCTGTAAAAAAGCAAATGAGCAAATTGGACCAACTGAAAGTGAATGGGGGTAACGCTGTGCTTACTTCTTCCACAAAGTCACCCCTGACATCACTGTTGAGTTCCAGCAGCAACTCCGTTGTAATCTGCGCCCTGGATCTGCCCAGGCTGTCCTTGTCGAGGAAGAAGCTGAAGCAGGAAAGGACATGTATCAAAAAAAAGTGACAAACTCTCTTTGCAATGAGATGTGAAGTTTTCAGTGGTGAGGGTGGCAAGTTAAGTAATGGGTTTCCAGTAGCAAAATGCAGTACTGTTACACCAAAGCACTTACATGTACACACAGACATACGTGTTCATGTACATACATTGTACATGTACATATACCAACATGTACAAGATTACACCAAGTACCACAGGCTGACTTAAAGTGATCCCGGTGATGCAGTGGAGTATTTCCAGCGATTCTGAAGAAAGAGGCAGGCCCTAGCTTGACCAGTACTTGTACTCAATTTCTCTAAAAAACAAACTGTGTGCTCATGAAATGAAGGATAAAACGTAACGTGCAATAATATGTAGCTAAATGCATGTTGCCCAAGGAAAGCCATCCCCCAACATCACAGCCAAGTCTAACCCAGTGTGGTTTATACATCTAATCCCATCCAGTAAAATCCAATAAATCAAATCTGACCATACTCACCCCATCTGTACCCAACCCAGCCCATCTTCACACAACTTTGTGTAAACCTTACATGTACAAGCATGTACTTAGTGTGGACCCGTGAACAACACTGAAGGTCCATGTAATGCAGGATGTGTGAACTTTGTGTGGACCACATGAACAAGTACATGTATCAGCCAAGTCCTCACAAGTTAGTCCTTTCTAGAAAACCACTTTATGAGCTTTTTGGGGTTAAGAGTTGTTAACAGCAAAACTCAGAGGAACGATCAGGAAAACCATCAGCAAAAAAACATCTTAAACAAGTGTTCACAATGCAAGAAAAATTAGTATTTTTTCACTGCACGAAAACAGAGGAATGTCCACACTAGGTACCAGTAGGTACATGGAACGGAAGCATGTGAGCACGTACTTGTTGCCGATGTCTTCCCCTTTGATCTTGTTGCCATCGACGATGGAGAAGGAACCGATCCCTGGCAGGATGAGGTTCTTGAGGACCTCTGTTCCTGTAGCAGTAGCATTGATGAGGCACACATGGGCCGATTCAAGTGCTGCTTGTCCATGGTCTCCCCACAACCTGTTACCAAGCATGCAATGGAACACCATACGATGGGTTACTCATATCAAAGAGCAATTCTATACAAAAGGGACACAATGTATAAAACTTTCAAAGCTGGGACACTAATTTTGTCGTGATTCCATGAAAAAAGTCATGATGCCTTTGTCATGTTTGTTAAGAAAGAATTCCATATCTGACCATCACAATTTTCAAATGTTGCAAAGACCACCAGGTTTACCCTACTTTTATAACCTTTCCCTACTGGTATGATGGATGCCCTTTCCTCACTAAAATTACCCTAAAATACATGTATATTGGGTTATATGACACTTCAAACTTATGACGGTCCAATGTGGCATTCATTCCTCTTTTTGTAAAGAGTTGCCAACTGGCAAAATGGCCATTAGACAATGGTGGAATCTCTTGCAACGGGGCCTATAGTCTCAATTTCATGCCCCATATTTTTACACACCAGAGCCGAGGCTAACTCACAGAAAATGTCACAGGCATGTCTTTGTACTGGGGCTCATTTTTGTTACACACCGATTTTACATTAGTATTACCTTGAGCAGGACACACAGGGGAAGTTTGTACAGTATTTGTACAAAGACTATCGCAGTCTATTATTCATTTTGTTATGCCATGGTCATAGATAGTGAATTTTTATTGGTCACGAATTGATCACGTGCTTTGCTACAAGCCTGCATGTATCATTCACATGTCGTGCACACTGGCGATGTTGCCGGGCTGCAAAAAATGATGGATAATGGTGATCTTTCCCAGAGTTGATGTGTCGTGTCTACTGCGTTGTAATTGTGTAATCTTGGGTACAAGGGTGGATAGCCGCAGTGGTACTAGAACAAGCCAATTACTGTAGGAGATGCGCATGCTCTGATCTCTGCATCTGCAATCCAAATCACCAGCTTCTCTTTTCGTCTGCTCTTCAATCTTGTCAATACTTCTCAACAGTATTTGGTGTAAGTAATTTCTTGAAATTCAACCAGTCGACAAAACCCCCAGTGCTTTACGAATCTGAGGTTTCTTTGTTAAACAAGTTTGTTATAAATCCTAGATTCCCACCCCCCCCAAAGGTAAACAAAGGACGTCACAATCAATAATTTTGGTTGAAATTTAATATCTAATTTCCTGTTCATGTGTTTCAATTTGTCAAAGTGTTTTTTTTAATATTTACATGTATCTAGCATAAGATTGTTGCAATGAAATCTATGGCCGTGTATAACAAACCAATTCCTTCAGTGACAGGGTCCATGGGTTTTGTACACCCTCGGCTTTGCCTCGAGTGCCATTTGTCCCCTCGGGTGTACAAATTACCATGGACCCCTACAACGCAGGCAACATGCAACAATGGTTAAACTTGTACAACTGTGATGGAACATATCCATGCTGTACACGTGTATGTAGCATGCCGTTGGTACCATGTTGGTACCCACAATCATGGGTGCTTTCCAATTACTTAGAACTGCAAACCAGAAACCTTCTGACATTTTTACAGATCCAGACTGAGTTTGGCATCAGATGACAATCAGGAGTGAATCACTGTAGAAAATGAATGGCCCAAATTGAAACCAAAATTTCACAGATTTAAATTCTACAAACTGGAAATCACCCAAAGTAATACATCGGTGGTTTGATTAACTTGATGTTGTGAGTGATCCATACACGACAAAAGGATTTCATACAACTTCAAAAGCCCTTTCGTGGAATCTCTATATTTTTGGTTCAAGGGCCAATGATACGGAGGGAGTCCAGCCTGGGACTATGCCTAGGTGATCATCACCCTCCGACTCATACTAGCCTAGGTACATGTAGTGATGTACGTACGTGTACATCATGTCGTCAGGCATGTCAGGCAACGAAGCTCTATCTAACAAGTGGAGACTTTATTCAAATCAATATTCCTCGTAACCCCAAATACGTTGCTATTATTAGAAAAATAACAATACTAAGTTAAAGCTCTTAATGCTACCTTAGCTGACGGTCATATTTTTTCTCCTTGTCAATTACCGGACTTCCCCTGGGCGCAGCCATCTTTGATGTCATTGGAAAGTCGACTATTTAGATCTATTCATGAAATTCAGAAAATATCTTCTCTAAAATTTAATTCGTAATATATTTTTCTGAATTGTAAGCAGTTTAAAATAGATTGTTTTAGAAAATTAATTCTTTATGTTATTCAAATTTTAATTTTGATATTCAAGATAAAGCAACTTTAGGATATAGATAATAAATGAATACACCTTGCCGATGACGCAACACGGGTGTTTATTTCGAGAAATTGCTTCGCTGCAGCTTGTGAACATGCGGGACTGGTTGCAGATGTGGATGCTGCTCATGCTGGCCCCTGCTGCTGAGTTGATGTAACTTCGTGTAAGAAAAACTCATGAGATAATGCCAGTCGTAGCAACTTTTGAAAACTTGCAGTATTCACGCCAGTGATCAGAAAACAGTCATTTTGTGAACAGGCGTGACAGGCTCTCGTTCATGCTGTTTACTTCATGCTAAGCAATGCTGCACAGCGCGGCAGAGTCACGTTCATTATTTTTCATGACTTGCTCAAGTTGGAAAATCCCCTAGATTGGGTGCGGAGCTTGTGGATATTACCATGGAGGTAGGCTAGTCCCTTCCTACCTCCAAGATATTACTATTAGGATGTGGAAGCTGGAGAGGCATAAGAACAAACATATGTGGGTTTGGCACTACAAAATGTCAGAATGCTTTCAGGTGTTTGCCGATTGTTTTGTTTAGGTTTTTTCTGTGTGTGTGTGTGTGGCATGTGGGGGAGGGGAAGGTTGGTAAAAAGTTGTTCTTTCATTTGCTTTTCAGGATTTTTTACACATATCAATGCCCTTAATAGACCCTTTCCATTAGGGCAGAGTCTATTCTTTACTATTTTAATTTACGAAGTGGCTATTGTTACGGTAGCCGTAATGCATCTCTCATTGTTCTATCGTTATGGCACTAAACTGTGCAAGTGCGATGATTTAGCTGATCATCACGACGATTTATATAATTTTAAAATTACCTGGATTGCTGAATGAGTTGTGGGTGAGTGGTTAAGGTGGAAGGTTTTGAACCACAGGTGTGGGAGTTTGAATCCACACTCGACCATTTTATTTCTTTTCACCTAAATTTCATGTTTTATACCGTGATTTCTTTTTTGGTTGGTTTCTAAATGTGTTGGCCTAAGCAGGAATCTTTTTTCTTTTCTCATCGGAGGCTTTAGAGGATTTTTTTAAGGGAAATAAAGTCCGAAATCAGCACTAAGTTGGCGTGCTTGCGTAGTTGCAGTGCCGTAACGACAGAAAATGGGAGATGCGTTACGGCTGCCGTAACAGTAGCCACGGCGTTCAATTTAACTACAATGAATGCACTTTAAAGTTTGAAAGGAATTACTCGAGCCTATCTTAGAGGAAGAAAAAAAAGTCCTCTAATGTGACGTCATTCACAGGAGGTCTATCATTGCATGTATTTTATTTGTTTGACCATTCCCAAATAACATCATTAATTTATTGAGCTTTGCCTAAATCTGTAGTTTGATATAGTTTCTCTTTTTTCCCCCACATTTAACAATTACCATCAAGCCCTCTAGTCATTATTGTCATGCTGTACTTTGTGGTCCATTGCTGCATGTGAATTGTTTGTGTTTCTTAGCTATGTATTTATGCTCTGGGATCTGTTAGCCTTAGTATATTGTCAATTTAATTGGCATAAATTATTTAGTTTATTTCTTTACCTTGTTTTACCTGTATTACATTTAGCATGCATCTATGTTGGCTCATGCATTACTTTAAACAATATCATTTGTACATGTTGTAAGCCTTGGTCATTTTTACACCTCTATGTTGCTACAAAGTTGTTTGGATCTTTTATATGTGTATGTGTCTCATTGTTTTTTGTTGTTAAAGGGACCCATACTCGACAAGCTTTGTTATTTTGTGGGTCTCCTGCATCACTGTCTCTGCTGTTACTGTATTAACTCCATTGTTATTCTTTGTTCTTTTTCTGTCTCTCAAAGTATTCTATGTACACTGTACATGTACATATACACTGTATTATATTTTTGCATATATACATGTATTGCAAAAGGGGAATAGATAAAACTAAAGTAAATGTTAAGTAAAGGTTGATTGTTGGTTTAAAAAAGCTGAGTAAGGAAAGAATTCCAGAAAAGAATTCTGTATAAAGGGCATCACTAACTTTTCCATGGAGTGACCTACATGTATTACCTCCTTGAAAGCAAAGAAATGTCCCAAAAAGTCAAATTTAGGCATGGAAATATTAAGCTATTTGCTTAGAAAGCAATCTTTCAGACCGGTCTTATAGGGTTTGTGCACAGTTGTCAAGCAGCATCTGTAGAACACGCAGTGACAATCACGATACACAGGTTCAATTTTTTCAAGTGAAATGGATAATGAGAGGGAAAAAATTCTGAAAAGTTTAAGTGTTTGTAAAGTGAACACCTCAATAGTTTAACTGCTCAGTTTGACATTTTGTCCCCTTTAGGCGGCTAATGGATCACGGCAGGGAAAAATTAGTGAAAGAAAGCTAAAGATTTACCCAACAAGGGATGGAGCCCATGGCCTGCAGGTCTGTGTACCACTGGTCCACTAGACCACCAAGGCACTTCAGTGGCTACATGTAGCGAGAATTTATCCTTTTTAATATTATTTCTATAGACATCAAGATCTGATGCATGCACATTGTTGGTGATGGTTCCGTAGCTTTGTGTAACATGGGTCTGGTACCCGCAGCATGTTTTTTCTCTTTGTAGCTCTAAAATGTCTTTCATTTCATACAGACCTGCTTTCATGGGTGCCACATAACGTGACAGTGTAGGATGCACATGAAGGCTGGACAGCACAATGGCATCAGAAATCTCTTCAATAAGCGACTTTGATGACAATGATGGTGAGCTTGCCATGTTTTGCCCACACGCACCGTACATGTATTTCCCCTTTTTCCACGTATCAATCACCCTCCAGGGTATTATGTAGTGTATCGCCGGGCAACCCAGTCAGATGCATTACTTTGCATCACTTGTCCATATGACTTGCCTTCAGAGTGCAAGGTCCCAACAGCTTGAGGGATCCCCAGCCTGTCCCCAAGGCCAAATTTGTTTGTTATACTACTCTAGCCTCTCTCTGTTGTGTTAAAAGCACCTGTACATATACATGTAGGCACCTGTACATGTACATTTATATAAGACCCAATAAAAAATAGTTCTGCTTCTAGTTTCTCGACCAACCCTAACTTTTCAGCCCGACCCTAAAATTTCTATTGGTAAATTAGAATTTAGAAAAATTGTAAAAAAAGATCCTGTTGTCTTCTCTGTCATCACAAACCACCTATCAGCAACTCGAAAAAAAGTTGCTTAGAGGTGTTTTTAAGAAGTCCCTTCGCGTTTCACAATTGCCGTAGTTAAAACACGAGACAGCAATGCCCAGTGCCTTGAAGCACTGGTTTCTGCCATTGCCAAAGAAGGCATGATGGAAATGCGATACTGTGCACGATATGGGGCAGATGGGTACCCCCCATGTCCAATCCCTATACACAATCTAGACTATTGTTACACATCCCCCCTAGAAGTCTGTAAAGAATTCCTGAGATACCGATCGAACAATGACCAACACAAAGGTGGGGGTTTCTCTCCGCCCCATATCTTGCATCATATGAAAATGCATGTAGTGTTATTACACTACACGCTACACGAAAGTATTTCTACAGCTGAACATGAAAAAAAGCATCAGTGTTGGAAGGTTTCTGCAAGTTAATTGACAGGGCCTGATCTCTGGTCTGTGCATGTATTTTAATTGTTTATGAATCTTATTTGAGGTTGTATTGCTTGTACTTGAAGGGAGCTTGTTTCCACAAGATGAGGTTTATCACCTCCCCATGCATCATGCACACTTACCAAGCAATATAAGGACATTGCTTGTACATGTAGTTTCCCATCATGATTACCTGACTAGCATTGTGCATAGTGATGGAATTGTCCATTCTTAAGCAGTTAAGAACTGTCGACTGTAGATATTTTTACATTAATTGGTGCAAGTTTTTATTACTTTTCATTTCAGTTTTTGGTACATGTAGCTTTTATTCTTATCCAGTCAGCACTTACATTAGAATTGAAACAAAACAGCATTTCCAACCTACCAACCTTATTTTTGAAAGGCATAATCAGAAGTTGAGCTAATTTTTTGGCCTTATCACATACGGGTACGTGCCTGTGCTTTTGTGGAGTGTTGTCCTTTGAGGGATTTTTTTGTGGGGAGTCGTCGGGGTTTTATTATTTTTTTTAAACAGATTCCATGAAAATGTAAGGTTACATGTAGTTGCAAAAATTGATGTGCTTAACCACTTACCGCCGGGGTTTCTGGTACCGGACACATATTCTTTATACACGTGGCCGGGGTCTCCGAACTCGGACAAAGGGAACTTGGTCTTGTAACAAAATATCGTACTTGTAACAAAAGACCAGGCTGCTGGGCATTAGCAATTTGTTTCACTCCCAATAGTGGAGATAATCCAGCCTTGTTTTGAAACAGTATACCACGGTTTTGGGGATTTAACACGAGCAGATTACCACTGGGCACAAAAGCGCTCCACCACAGCACCGATGAGCCACACAGTACCGCTGCACTCTAATCTGGCCCCTATTTAAAAGAGATCAGCAGCTTACTGTGTCAGTTTCGTGAACAAAATCAGTGAGCAAAATCTGGACTCTTTACAAGGAGGCAGGCCTGGCTGACATACTTCAGCGTCAATAGATGTTGTCTGTTAGATTAGAGTAGCACCAGACAGTCCTTCATGTGGGTGTGTCCAGCAAATAAAGAAAGGAAATTTTAAAGAATTTTGAAAACAGAAAAAATGAGAATTATCCCATCCCAGCATCATCAACATTGATAACTGCCCCGGGCATGAAGTGGTTAAAACTGTTACTGAAATACAGATTTGTTTTCTTTAGTTTTGTGCTCTTTTTGTTTGGTTTTGGAAATGGGACATTGGAGCGGCTGCTACGCGGAATTGTTTGTGCAAATACAGCATGGGGAGATTTACTTGATCGAGATTGGTTTGCAGGTCAGGTGAAGGATTTGGAGTCATGTTGACTGTGTTTGTTTTTCTTTCACAGAGGATGAGCTGCACACCTCGGATGCCAATGCCGGGGCCCTTATGGACCCCAAAAGCATGGTACATTCTGGGATGATGTTGTCACTGCTGCATCAGGTATGCTCGGCGTACGAGAAGGACTCCAAGAAGGTGGATAAGATGTACCGCTTGATCTGCCAGAACATGAACAAAATGAATGTAAGGGGGAGCAGCTGATTTTTGGGGGTTGTGGCTTCAATGTACACTTTTCTTGAAAATCTGGTTCGTAAGTGATTTCGTCACAAGGGCGGACACACCACGATTTGCAGGCCTCCATTGGACAATTGCTGAAGTTGCACGTAAACTTCCAGTTCCATGGTTCCATGTAAACAGCGATCATTGCATGTAACCCCATGTGCTTTGCATTTGCAATGGGCGTGGTTTAAAATGAAGTGACGTCACACTTACAAACCGGATAGAGAGTACAGGCCAGTTCACTCACATCAGGCGAATGCAAAAGCAAAACAAAATTGACGTCACAAAAGATGTGAAGTGAAATTTCACTCGAGTTGAAATGTGTTGAACTTTTGCAAATTCACATCACGAATATATGATCTTATGTCACAAATATGTGTAAACTTTTGTTTGCTTTCCTGTGAAGTATGTACAGGCCTTTACCCTTTCCGAATCACTTGGCTATGGCTTGAAATTAAACACAACACTATGGGATCTGGCCACAGCCGCTACCAAAAATGTGTGTGTAATTTCAGGCCGCTGCCAAGTAATTTGGACGTGGTTAATTCTCCTGATAGAATCTATATTTGTGATGTGTGAAGGAGCGTACATTTATTACGTAGCAAAGAATAGCGACAGCGTTCTGCTGGGCCAGCACACTTCACAATCACACTGATTTGCATGTGCCTGAGCGACCACCTGTGCACAACGTTTATCTGTCATTAATGACCATTTCCAAATCCTCCCATCTAAAAAACGGTTGTTTACAAACTGTGTATAAAGACCCACTGTAAGAGACCTGGTATTGTAGATCAGGTTACCTACAGTATGGTGGCTTGGGTATTGTGCCGAGATTGCAAGCATGCAAGAACCAGTGCATATGTACGATATTCCCTGACTCTTGAGTAGCCACACGACACCGTCTGCAGTTTTTGGAGTCTTCAAGCTTTACTTGTCATTGGAGAGGTTTGCATGACAACTGTAATTCTGGATCACAAGCCGAGCACACTCCCTCAAATATTGAGCTAGAACTTTTAGGAATCTTGCCAACTGCAAGAGAGAAATTCTTAAACAGTTCTACTTTGAGCTCATGCAAGCACTCCTACGTGTGCATGTACATTCAAAGCTGCCTGAGCGACCACCTGTGCACAATGTTTATCTGTCATTAACGACCATTTCCAAATCCTCCCATCTAAAAAACTGTTGTTTACATACTGTGTAGAAGGACCCACTGTACAACGCGACCAGCCACTGCCCATTTTTTTCGTTCACACAGGCGCTAAAATCTGTACATGACAGCTGCTTGTTAAAAGTTCAACCAAATGCGGGTGCCATGCATGCACACACGTACACGCATCGCCTGAACACGGGATCGATCTCGAGCATTCTTTGAGCATGTATACTATGCATGACCCCTGACCTCTGAAGAGTCTCATTCAAACATGACATCATTTGAAATGGCAATAGAGGGATTTCACATTAGCGCCGTCTGCGCATATCCGCATCGAAACCGAGGCTCTCTGTGTTGAATTTCGTCGCGCGTGCCCGTGGAGTCGACCACAGTACATGGAGTGTATGGTTCGTAAGTGTGACGCCACTTCAGTTTCAACCACGCCTACTGCACAAGATACACGACCATCGCAGATACGTTAGTTGTGGTCAATTGTCGTTATTTTTTCTTTTGATTTTACGTGTTGAATAATCTTGAAAGACTCTTCCACAAATATTTGAAGTCTGAAAAGTCTGAATTTATCATACCTTTATGTATTTACTTTCAATCGTCTGATCGAACTAAGAATTGAAGCTGACACATACAGCCTCGTTTTCAAACGCGAAAGTGCGCAGATCGACGCTAAAAGCGTCGTATTGGGATCCCTCTATAAACTAAATTTTAATTTTCAAAAGCAGATCAATGGCTTTTGAGAAAATGAAACATCTTTTAATTTTTTTTTTCCAATTTCTTTTGGTTTCATTTGAATTTTCAATCGGCGAAGTAAAATTTTACTTTTTAGAACTCTGGGCTCACCTCATGAGGTGTAAGTCGTGCGCATGCTTGGTTTCATCGCACGTCATTCTCTATCATTTTGCCATTTTGCACAATTTTGTTTCAACATCGCTGGTTTGAAAAAGGAGAGAATATGGTTCTGAATCCTTCAAGCCTGAAACCTTGGGAAAATTTTCTGGAATTAACTTTCACTGGGAATGAAAGTGGAAGTGATCCGGATGCACAAAGAGAAGATAAGCTACTGCACCATGCGTGTGATCGTTTAATGCGAGGGATTAGGCCTAGGCCATCGTTGCAGAGCGGGCAGACGCAGATCCAGAATATTGTGAAGCAGAAAAGTGAGTCAGCCAGTCATCACTTCAGGACTTCTTCAGAAAAGTTAAACTGAACCCTGTTGGGTCAAAAAGGCCACACCAAACCCAACAGTTCTTTTCAGAGCCAACAACAAACCAAACACGTCTTTCAGGGTCAACATAATTTATATTGCACTGAGTGAAAGAGTCCTTGTCGTGGTGCGTTGCACCAATGTAGCTAATTGTCACATTCATAATAAACAAAGTGTTTTTAAATAAAATGACTCAGTACCCGGCACCCCCTCCCGATCTTGCTTTTGATTCCACTGTTTAGTGTAAGAAAAATAATTAAGAATAATCTTTAAAATATACAAAGTATAAACAAGCATTTACACCTACATGAATAAAATAAATATGCTATTTAAGAAAATAACAAAAACAGAATCACTTCATTTGGGACAGAAGGAAGAACACAACCGTTACAAAATAAGGTAGATTTGACTGACATTTCTTTCATAAATATGTACCACTACCTGTATAGAGAGACCACCCGCCTGTAAACAACACGTTTACCATTTCCTTTGAGTAGTCTTTTTGGGCAGATTTGACTGTATCACAGAGTGATGCCTGTGCCAATCCGAGACCTTGGTGGGTCTTGGTTCCTGTTTAAGAAGACTGGCCCCACTGATCTACGGTACTTAGACAACTGGATGGTGAAAAACACTGGCTGATACTTACTCAGCTCAAGGCTTTGTTTCCATCTCTCCAGCTTTTACCTTCACAGAACGTGATTGATACACTTTCTTCAATACAAGTTGCCTATACCAACGTCTTCAGGCAGATGATGCACGCTACATCACAGCACCTTCATGAACCAGACATGCAGGTCAGTGCACCAAGAGAGTCTTTGTAACAGAAAGCAACTAACAAAATTTAAGTTTTGCGCATGCGCACATACATGTATATGCATAATTGGCACTCCAAATCACTGGCAGTAACTGTGGAAATGGACTTTTTCAAATGCTTAGAAAAAAATCACTTGACTTATCTTTTACCTCACTATAGATAAAACAATACAAGAGGTCTAAACTGTTGTAGTTTTGGGATTTTGCAGTACACAAATGGCAGTGAAGCCTATGTAACCAGTGCATTACATGTACCAGTGCTGTGATTGATCAGTGCAGTGCGCAGAACCACATCTGCTACTGCATGTCGTTGTAATTTTCACTGAGAGAGCATTACCCTCATTCAACAGTGTGAGCCATTTTTCACTGATCTCTCTGTAGCTCTCTTTTAGAGCTCATGAGCTATAATCCTCCTTCAAATCTGTTATAACCCACAAGTAGGTTTAGAAAGAATTGAGGCAGGCATGCAGAGACCAACCACAGATAAATGCTTAACATGGTAACATATTGTATGCATTTTGAAAGAGTCGTTAACTGGTGCAGAGAATGTCTCTTTTGCATTCTTTATTTGAGTCTTTTTGCATATTTTGAGAAGGATTAAGCTGGTTTGCCTAGGAAATTATTTTCTGCATTTTGGCCTCTCATAGCCTCGTTACCTTTCACTGCCGAGCACGGAACAGGAGAGGACAGCCGTCTTCCTCCAGTTACAGAGCCCCTCGTTTAGTCTACCCAGGATATCTCCAGAGGAAATTCTGTACTCCAAATCCACACGATACCAAACAGATTTTGAGGAGCTGTGCTTGATTGGCAAAGGAGGATTTGGCAAAGTATACAAGGTTAGGAAGGCCTAAGGTTGGGCCTCCAATACTTTATGCCTCGTAGGTTGTAACTGGTTTATAAATGCACAACCAAATGAGAGAACAGCTACATGACCACTATTACAGCTTACTTGCCAGGGAAGGTAAAAATCAATGAAATAATTTCAATAATTCATCTTGGCTGGAAGGTAGTGATTTCATTGATTTTAAGAGCAAATGAATTCTGTCAGATGTAAATAAATATAATAGAAATTATGCAATGAAATTTTTGCTGCATTTTTGATGTGTCAGCTGTTCTTCCCTCCTTTCACGTGTATAACCGGACATTGACATTTGTGTCTGAAATTGAATGTCTGATTATTCAATTTGTAGGTTTGTAGCAAGCTGGACCGATGTTTGTACGCTGTCAAGAAGATCAAATTGAAGCAAACAAACATTGAAAAGTCATTCCAGGTAAATAAAGCTAGATAAACATGACACCAAAGCCAGCAGCAATCAGTGAACCTCTCGCAATTTTCTCCATGAAGCTTCTATTCAAATTTCACCGCAAGGTCTTTCACAATTTTACATTGTTTTCATTCAAAGGCAAATCACACTCTTACATGCATCTCAACATCTTTGTGTTTATCTCTTCTAAATGCCTCTTCTACTTTCATGTATATTCTCTAGCTGCTGTTTTTTTTCTGACGGTATGAATTTTGTTACCAAATCACTTTAGTTGGCTAATATGAAAGTAACATTGTGCACAGATTTTGAGCATGATTAAGTTGCTACAAAACAGGTGTCATCTACATGTAGCTGTAAGGACTACTGCTTCCCATCACGTCAGTGTACTATTTACAAAATGAATCTTACACATCCTATTTCTTGATTCTAAACACAAATTAACCCCAACCCTCTGATGTCCTCCAAAATCCACTCCAGGGTTTAGTAAGATTTGGCAGGATTCAGGCAACAAAATGTTCATGACATAATGTAGAACTCAGCAACTGTTCATTGGACTTGATATCTTATGGGAAAGAATGCACCGTGAGTTTCCTACTAAGTGATTGATTTTGAAGGATTTAAGAAGTTGCCAGCCATTATTTTCTGAACACTTTTTATTCGACAAGGTACATTTCTACTCCACTACCCCTCTAGACGCTATGCATTGCCCGCATCTATATGGTGTCTCAGAGACTGTTTTTTGTTATTTCAATTTAGTTACAACGAATGCACAAAACCTTTACTCGAGCCTATCCCAGTAATACAAAGCTCTTACCCTCTGAGGACGCATTAACGCATAACCTCTTATTTACAAACACATACACCAGTTTCCCCACAATGTAACTGACCTTTTTTTCTACCTATTTAAACAGCTTGCAAAGGAGGTTCAGCTCTTAGCCAGCCTCAAGCATCCCAATGTGGTTGGTTACAACACTTCCTGGATCGAACCCGAGCCGGCTAGTTCCAATCCTAAGCATACTTACCAAGGTGGGAGCAGACAGGAGCCGATCTCCAAATTGAAATGCCTACCCTCATCGAGTGAAAGGTGAACTGTGTAGAGAAACTAGTGATGCGTTTAGACCAACTTGTGACTGGGGGTAACGGTTACCCAGTGACCTACAAAATCAAAATTCCACTGATGCAGCAGCATTAAGTTTTTATACGTCCGTTCATTTTTGTCTGATTCCTTTCAAACTGTGATTTGGCGGAAAGTTTTGAATATAAATTGCGATGGTTCATCGATGGTCTTTATTTTCTGTGATTTCAGCCCAAGAAGTTCCAGCGAGCAAGAAAGTTCCACCACAGACAAGAAAAAAGTCAAGATTGAGGATGTCGACTCAAAAGGGGAACTATCGCCTGACATTTGGACAGACAGGAACAGGGTGTCCCCTTTACACCAGCACATGCAGCATTCATCCATGGAGTCCACCGCTGGTTGTCCTAGTAGCCTCAGTCGAAGCCCAAGCGATTCTACCAGCACAATAGTCGCCTCGCCGACAACGCCTCTGGTGCATTGTGATCAGGGCAATCTTTACATCGACCAGAGCTGTGACGACCATTCACTTTCAAACATGACAGCAGCAAATGATAGAGTCTGTTTGATGCAGAAATCCTCAAATTTCCACGGCATCATCAGAAGCGTCGTACAGTACATGGTCTTCAGTGGCCACAGAATCCACATGCGAGACCAGAACTACTCACTTGCATCAAGCGTCATCTCACCAAACATCCTTTTCTCATCGAGAGTCGTTCCAGGAGAGTAGTTACTCTCAGTCAGTTTCGACTGCTCAGCAATCCTCTTATTCCCAGTTGAGGACAACCGAAGTAGAATCCAGCCAGTATGAACAGGACAGCTTATCCGAATCGGACATACAGTTCCACACCCAAGAATCGGTGAATGTGAACTTCGAAGATGAAGAATATTCGGATCTGCAGATTTGCTTTGAAAGCAGTCCCGGGAATAACACGGGCACCGTCTCAGATATCATCCAGAAGGATGCTGCCACCAGGGCAGATAATGGTTTCGATCAACCTATTCACCCAGGTGATAAACCCTCAAGTAGCTCTACCGACTTCAGTCTCAATACCACCTCTGTCCCTCTTGAAAAGTCCACAGTAGACCACAACAAGAACTCATGGAGGTACCAGTACCCCAGGGACTTGAGGCGTGGCACATTTGGTTCAGTGCCGTTGCAGAGCAACCTGCTTACTGGCAATAAGAAACAGTCCAAGTGTCAGATCATCAGTCTGGACAGCACCCCTAACAACCCAAGCAAGGCCACAGCGCCTTGGCAAAGGAGGCGACACCGATCCAAGAGCCAGGACAATATCAAAGACGAGCCCAGGAACAGGATGATAAGGCCTTTGCAGGCCTTTCCTGTGTTCACAGTGAATCTGTACATCCAGATGCAGCTGTGTTCGCACACCTTGTCAGACTGGCTTCGAGATCGGAATACCAAGACAGAACAAGTCAAGGGTAAGAATTTTGAATCTATTTTTATTGTATCAACTATTTAAGATGACCCTAAGAATTCATCTTGGGTGTGTGTGTGGACAAGCTTTCAGTCTCATATATTTAGCAAATTAGGGCCGAATTTTGAGGACATTTCAAGGTCCCCATAATGTTTGGTCCCCATAAAGCAAGTGAAAGAAGTTTGTCCTCACAACAGAAGAAGTACATGTGTGTGTACAAGTGTGGCATACACTGTACATATTTCAGATTTCTGCACAAAAGAAGTCCACATACATGTAACATAGGGTTAAAAGATGTGTAGACTGGCACATGTCCACACAGTGTTTTTTCTGCTCTATGAAAAACAGCTTCAGAGGGACTTTGAGGTCAGGGTTATTTGTGTCAAAATGAAGAGGAACGGTCCAGGAAATCATAAAAAAATCCCTCTCAGGGAGGTACATGTTTCATAGTTGGAGCATTTTCCCTGAGTTTTCGTAACCAAAGCAGAACAAAAAGATGTCCACACACCGCATGTGAAAATTGAGAAAAACGTGTGTGTGGTTTTGTTGTTGCCTTTTTTCATTTCATTTTGTTTGCAATTTTTTTTAACCTGCCTAGATATTCATTGACAAATTTATACACTTGTGTAAATTTTGGGACACATTTTACACACACTGATTTGAACATAAGAATCAGGGCACCTGACTAATTTTCCCCTGAATGAGTACAACCTATAACACTATAGCATGTGCATGGATTCCTGATTGTAATGACACTGAAAGAACTTCCATTACTTAATAGTGGTTAATGTCCCAGCTTCACCAGCCAATTTGTTAATGTGGGTTGAACCCATGTTCTTAGCTGCCTACAAATGTCATTTGTGTGATTAGCATTCTGGAGTGTACACTGTATTCTTGTTAACTTACTGGTAGCACCCCCTACTCAAGCCAGCTCTACCAGCCTGGGGAACGTGCAGCATTGCCAAGCCGGTTGCCACTTAAATTGGCTCTTCATTTGCCATGTTCTTTTTACAGATGCTCTGGAGTTGGTGAACGCCCTAGATAACATGCACATCTTCGAGCAGATGCTCAGTGGTATCAAGTACATACACTCCCAGGGGCTCATACACAGAGACCTTAAGGTACTGGTACACGTCTTCCCGGGTCTCGGCATTGCTCAACTGAACAACTCACTGAGTTGTCTGAAAGCATTTTGGAAATTTATGGAATCTCATCGATCTTATTTTTACTGCATATTGGACGTGTGCCGCAAATTGTTGCATACCGGTATTATGTATGTCATTCAAGCACTCTGCTACTGGTATATGAATGGGCTTTGCCATGCTCCCGTGCTCAAGGACTAAATTGTAACATTGTTTCTCCCCCCGCCCAACTGTTCACCTTTAATGATATACTTACAAGTTACGACATGCAGATCCACCTGGACTTTATATTAAACTGAGGCTTGTGCTTTAAACAATTTTTCTTGGTTTGCAAAACTTGCGCTGTTAGTTACCTGATGATTTAATGGCACATGTGTCTTGCTTTAGCCAAAGAATATCTTCTTGGAAGAATCCAGTGATGACTTGCAAGTATTAATCGGCGACTTTGGTCTTGCCAAGGAGAATTTCGTGGTGGAGAGTGTATCGCAAGATTCTGATCCCCCTAATGGAGTATGTGGTATGTATGCTGTGTGTTTCCACCCAAAAAGTTTTTCATAAATTTTTTTTACTCATTTTCTTGCCTAAGCAGGCGTAATTTTTTAAATAAAGTAGAATGCTGCATTAACGAACACCGCTGTACCAAACATTTGGTATCCCCATTGGCTCTCAAATTTTCTTTGCACTCCAACATTACAAATTTCTTTTCAATAAAAGAATCATATTTAGAACTGTTGATAATAACCCAGTTAGTCGAGGAAAATCACACTCACAATGGAACAACGGCCAACCTGTGGCACAGTCTCTACAGGTACATGCATTGTTAATGGGTAGCCTGCATTGCCGCAAAGCCTGGAGATTTGACCTCAAAAATCACCGAAACAAAACATAATACCCAAATAGATGCTAGCATTTATGACCCAGCACATCAAAATCAAGTCTCAAATTGACTTTGAAATTTGTACATGGTCAGAAAGAGGATTTCATAAGCTTTCAAAAGGTACACATTATAAGTGTATTGATGGCAACCTTTCATACATACACTTCCAAAATATACAGAAACCGCCACATTGATTTTTCTCAACATTTACCCACATCCCTACTTTACTCGGCCATTACGTAAGCGGCCTCAGCAGCATATTCCTGATTATGATGTATCGGATTACATTTGTTATATACATGCAATTCGCACAAATCTTTGATAAATATCTTGCACATTTCAATCATTCATTTTATGATTCTACCCAAATCCTCAGACTGAAACTTTTGTGTGGAAGGCAGCAACACACAGTTGGGCATGAGCCAGGGTTCGGAATGAAGGTGTACGTCCATGACTTAAAATCCCTGTTCTGAATGACCACTATAACAAACATTTTGTGTGGACCCTTCCGTGTTGGTTATAGCAGTGTTCTACTGTACTTTCCCCCACGCCCAATAAGTAACATCTTTAAGCTGTTGCCCTTGCATTCTGTTACATGGGGGCATAGTCTGCATCCTAGTAAAGGTGAAACCATAGTTAGGGCAGGTAATATCGGTACCAACAATCTTTTTTCACCAGTGCTGTAATGACTTTGGCATTTCTAGCAGATACGTATGAACCTGTGCACCACACGGTGGCAGTGGGCACAACAACATATGCCTCACCAGAACAGCTGAAAGGCTCCAAGTACGACTGTAAGGTATGTGTGCCTGTATTTAATAGGCCACGGTGTGTACTATTTCCCCTCAAAAATTAACCACTTGCCGCCGGAGAGCCAAGTGTCTGGCACGTATTCTTTATATGCACAGCCGGGATCTCTGAAATCGGACAAAGGGAACTGGGCCTTGTAACAAAAGACCGTACTCGTAACAAAAGACCAGGCTGCTGGGAATTACCAACATTTTTTCACTGTCAGTAGTGGAGATAATCCATCATTTATTTTGAACAGTATGCCACTGTTTGGGGCATTTAGTGCGAGCGCATTACCCCCGGGGACAAAAGCGCTCCGCCACCGCAGTGATGAGTCACACAGTACCGCTGCACTCTAATCTGACCCCTATTGAAAGAGGTCAGCAGCCCACTGTGTCAATTTCGTGAACAAAAGAAAATTAGGTAACACCGTACAATCTTTGCTCTTTTTACAAGGCAGCAGGCTTTGCTGAAATACGCCAGCGTCAATAGATTTTGTCTGTCAGATTATAGTTGAAACCAGACTGTGCTTCGTGTGGGTGTAAGTGTCCAGTAAATGAATATTTAAATATTTAAAGAATTTTAAAAACAGAAAAAAATGAAAAAGATCCTGTCCCAGCAGAATCAACATTCATAAATGCTCCCACCGCGATGTGGTTAATAGGAGTCTGAGAACCGAATTCATTGGTTAATTCTGTACCATAGGAGTCGGAGTTCTGTGCGTAGAGTTGGGTTGTGGGCATTACGGGGCTAATTGCCATGAGTTGAAGTGCACCCTCACCAGCAAAGAAAAGGCCACTTGGTTGGAGGTTTTCAGCTCTGCTTCTGTGCGTGGCTTGCATGATGCAAAACCTTACATTTTTTTAAAAGAGAGATTGGTTGCATGTGCTGAGCTCCTAGCCCCCCCCCCAAAAAAAATATGCTTGAACCTGTGCGCACACGGAGCGAGTTCCCACTTGGAGCAGACACACTCTAGCTCTTGATTCCGTTTTAGATGAAACTGGTCTGGGCCAGTTATTTTCTCCAGAGGGAAAGCTCTGAGTTGTGTTCTCCCCCAGAATTTGAAATTGCCCCAGACTGTTGACGGATTCATAAGCATGGATAGTAATGGCATAGTATCTCAGGTAATTTTGTCTTTTATACACTAATCCTGCTACTGGTATTAGAAGTCATTGTAGCGGTACCACACTTGCACGGTCTTCATGCGTATACGCAGAATGCCTCTTTGGCTCTTAAGGTATTTGCATCGAGGTAGCTTTACCTCAGTGCTGGCTTTTGTCGTTTTTCATGACATGTACATGTAATATTTGATGATTTATTGATAGATTGTAATTCTTTTTTGTCTCCATTAGGCGGACATGTTCAGCTCAGGTATCATCCTGTTTGAGATGTTCCATCCCTTCTCCACACAAATGGAGCGTGCCAAAGTGATTGAGCAGGTCCGGCTTGGCAGCATTCCGCGCGAAATTCACAAGAGGTGGCCTGATCAGGTGCGTTAATGCTGCGTATACAAGACAGTACTTTCAGATAACGTGGGCTGTGTTTTTAGACAGATTATAACAAAACGGGAATCTGTCAATTGATTTGCCTGTGAGTTTTCCGCGAGGTGGTTATAACTTTTTCAGTACAAGAAGCCTTATAAGCTCTGTAGAACCTAGTGATGAGGCCTTCTGAGACCCATTAATGAGAACCCAGGAAGGACACATTGCTCACGTACCACCTTGCTGTTAATGAAAAAATACCTTCCAACTGAATGTGCACAAAGCTGTCTTTTCAGACAGAAATACATTAGAGAGGCGTGGGTGCCCATATGTCTTTGACCACTGACAGCAATGGTTTCCTTAATGTTCCTTATGTCCTGTTAGTTGGAATAGTTGTGCTCAAATTCATTTACTCCACTACACCTCCCTGACTTTCACCATCACATGGATCCATGTGTGTCCCTAAAGGATAGATCTCTCTGAACAGATTTCTTGTTTGTTCGATCTGCCTAGCAGTGGCAGATGAGGTGGCAGACCTCTTTATTTTGAATGAGTTCAAAGGATTCAGTGCTAGCAGGGCCCAGACAGTATTACTTGCTAGGGGGCTTGGTATATCCCAATATCAAAGAATTTGCCTCGGGGTATCTTGGGAAGTGTTAGGGTTTGGCAAAGGCGCTAATGGGGCAAAAGGCCCTGGTTGTTACAGAAGTAAATTTTAAGGAAAGGGCATTCTGTGTCTCAGACCTCAAAGACGTTGACCTCAGATCCACTAGTCATCGAATGCAGCCTCTGTTTTCTGTCCAACCAGTCCTCTTATGATAACATGTGCCAATGTTGGGTTTGATTTTTCACAGTACAAGACCATAGGAGAGTTGACCCATTCTAAGAGCTGCCGTCGGCCACATGCAGCTGATGTCCTCAAGGGCCCACTCTTCCTCTCCAAAGATGAGGTAAAAGCTGTTTTTTTTCCCAGCAAGATTTTGACCTCCCCAACGTCAGAAACTACCCTGCTCAGTAGTCCCATGGTGCAAGCCTTCATACCATACACATCACTGAAGAATTGAGAAATGAATTCACTTTTTATTATTGGTTAACTGAAGTGATATTTGACACTTCAATCCCCTGGACATCCTACTGGCCTCCTATTAACCCAAACCCTACCAGACGCAGCACACTGCATCAGGTGAAAAGGTCTGATATACTTTGCTGTATGGGCAATCAACAGCAGCCGAACGAACTGGCCATGTTAAGATAATGGGAGCTAGTCCCAATGAACGATGTTACCGTTGAATCGTGTGGTGACTGGCAACCACAGACTCTCAGGCTGTTTGGCCTTGGTGAGAGTTGACCTGTTGGATATTGTTACACTGGGCAGGCAATGTACTCTGACAAATGATGCAGTTTGATGTGTCTGGCAGGGTTTCTTGACAAAGAAGGCTGGAGTGTTAACGTTAAATCAGCTTCCAGCCAGCGATTCCAATTAATTTCATCCTAATTCTATTAAGGTTAATTCTCTTCGGTACACTTACGAAATGCGTTGGCCCCTGTCAACCACTTGCTGCAGCTTTTATCTTTCTGTCTTTCAACCAGGTTATCAAGGATCTACGTGCCAAGCTCTCTGAAAGAGATGCAGAAATCAAGATGCTTAAGCAGATGCTAGCCAAGTATGAAAAGACATAATGTAGTTGTAGTAACGAGGGTAATTTACACAGCAACATGTATCATTCCATGGTGTCTTCGGTAGTAACTTTAACAACAACATGATGTGAATCATCACCAGATCTTTCTTTGTTGCTGAAATAGACTGATTTTTATGTCCAAACACACTATGTGTATTTTCAGTACTTTATTGAAGAATGCAGGATATTCGTGATAATATTTAAACACGCTCTCGTTCACTCTCTGTTGGAGAGCTATATTCCTCTTTGTATTGCTCTGTGTGCAAAGTATCTCTGAGCAGCATTTTTGTCTCTATTGCCATGATCAGAATGCTAGAGGAGAGAGAATATTTAAATTATTTATCGTGAAACTGTATTTTTTTCCTGAAATATGTCTCTTTGTATTTTTGTTGTCGGCACAAGGGAAACATTAGACTTAAAAAACAAATTCCTCTTGATTATAAAATAAGTGTTGATAAACCCTAATTGTATAATATTTGTGTCCGAGAGTATGCCATACAAATGCATATACGCAGTGCTGTATGCTTCATGTTTGTTGTTTTCCATTGGATGAGAATGGGAAAAGCAGGAGTAGTGGTCAGTAAATGTCCATGTAAGAACGGCAAATCTTTCCGAGTACTGTCCTCAATACTGCTGAGCTTTGAAGTGTGAAACCGAAACTATTGAATGTACTTTTGTCACTTCCAGGGCAGTTAGTGCCCTTTTAACTTATTTAGGTTTGCAACCTGTGGAAAGTGAGGATCTTAAATTTAGTTTCAAACATCATAATGGAAAACGTCTAATTTTTAAGATTGAAATGCATGTTACATGCACTTGTACTTGTTGAATGTTTTCAGCATTATTTTTTTGTCATATCTAAAAGCTGTTCTTATTGGTTAAGGTATAAAAAAAAGACATGTACATGTAGTTGAGGTATGCAGCTGTGCAGATTTTGGCAAAACTTTTCACGAAGATGGATGATTTATTCTTCCCTTGGGAGGGAGAGGGTTTTATGTTATGAATTTTATGGAGGAAGACTTCCGACTGTGTGAGACTCAGTTTCCAGTAGTGTCAGGACAGTAAGAGTTTGATGGATTCACCAATTCCTAATTGTTTCCAAGGATGGATTTGCGCCGGGGAGATGTTAATTAATTTTAGATTTTTGCCCCGCCTGACGTGTATTATCACACTGTATACTCAGTGTTTGCCCCCGAAGGTGGGATTCATACCTACCTGAGTTTGAGTCCCACAAACTTACGCAAGTTCGAGTCCCGTTTGAGTACGCTTGTGGTTTTTTCACAATCCTTTGGGGGCAAACGCTGAGTATACAGCGTGGTAATACACGTCAGGCAGGGCAAAAATCTGTAGCTAGTTAATTCTTAATTGGTTAGGGAAAAATGGCAAAAGGGACTATATAGGAGGTGTTTCAATGTTTATACTTGTTTGTGAAAAACATTATATGCATTGGGACTTTTTCCAGGGTTCCGCTATCATGTGTCCTCCTCAAAAGGTCGGGTAAAATTTGAGGAATTCAAAAGAACTTTCCAGTTGCTGCCGAGGAAACAATTTTCAGCTCCGAAATAACGTTTCCTGAAAAAGACAATATGGATGCCTGTAATTAATTGAAATGGACATTTCCCAAACGGACATTGAAGCATTTATTTGTTCCTTTGTAGCCATGTGTGCATTCTGCCACATTTACCAGCTCAATTCACTAGCGAAAGACTGATCCCCTCATTGACGAAAACCACCACATTTCGTATATGAAATAGGATTATTTATTGATTGATCACTTTCATTGGCTTAACAGGTTATTTACCGGGGTGAGCAGCTTTTTTTTTCTAATAAGGTTGGTTTATTTGAGAGTAACTGTTCCAACCCAAGGGAAGAAAAGTTACTCTTAATTTCTTAAAAAAAAGTGAGGGTACCCGAAAATGGCACTATGTCTCCAGGGGCACCGGAAAAGGGCACTGTGTCTCTAGGGGCACCTGAAAAGGGCACTACCATGTCTGCAGGGGCACCTGGAAAGGGCACTGTGTCTCAAGGGGCACCTGAAAAGGGCACTATGTGTCTAGATGGCACCTGCAGGGGGGATTATGTCTCCAGGGGCATCTGAAAAGTGCACTATGTCTCCAGGGGGAACCTGAAAAGGGCACTATGTCTGGGGGGCACCTGAAAAGGGCACTTTGTCTCCAGGAGGGGGCGCCTGAAAAGGACACAATGTCTCCAGGGGACACGTGGGAAATGGCTTTAGGGGTCACATGGAGACATGCCTCTGATCAGTTTTTCAACAATTAGCAAGATGAAGGATGGCTTTTGCTATGTACTACTCATTTTTTCAAACGTTGGGAGAACGTAATGATGTATTTCTTAAGTCGGACAACGAGTTGCAAAACAGACGAATCAAATTAGATTCCCCAAAAAGGTTTGTGTTTGAGAATTGAACCTGTACTGGGAGCATCATGCACAAAAAGGTTGTCTCGGATGGTGGTCAATGGTTCGTTTTATGTGCATACGGGTTTTAAGTCTGTGATAGATACACTTTCATTTTATGGAAGTAAAAGGCAACCCACCGCTGCGTAGGGAACCACCAGGTTTGTACACGGATAGACTGACCGTCGTTATCATTATCAGTCAGTTACAACCACGTATTCTGTGCATTTTTCAATGGCCAAAGAACATATTTATTGAGCCACTGTAACATGATGAAATGACTTGCCATTAGGCCTATTGACGACATTTGATTGAATAAATTGCACCGTTCGAAGAAATTAAGAGGACATGTCGAGAATTTGACGCCAGACTTAAAAACTAAGACACGTGATGTCACCCCTTGGGTGGGGTATCCTTCCCACGCAACTTACAAAAGCAATGCAAACAGTTGGCGTAGGCCTACTTGTAGAATACTCAATAAAGGAAGAGTGTAAAAATTTTAGAGGTACATGTGCATAGGTCGCGTGAAACAAGCCTAGGGCTGCCACCGTGGCCGATGGCAACGTTTTATAAATCAATATCTTCTGTTTTCTTTAATATCAGAACAATGCTGTCGAAAAGGTATCATCAAAAGTCGCGAAAATGCAAAAATGCAACCAACTCCCAAAGCAGAAACAAGCTATGGTCACTAAGGTGGCGAAAACGCGCCCCAAATTCGTACACCTTATTAATATACTCAACAGGGGGACAAACTGCATTGCTCCAGTAAAGGCACAGACATATAAAAGACATGTAAATACATGGACCACCAGTATTAGGAGTATAATGATTTTGAATGACCTAGGCAAACAATGGGCGAATCGACAGATCCATTGGAGTGCGAATTACGCAATTATTTGTTTGCATGTGCTCCCAAAATACGCTCACTTTTTTTGCTCTTCATCGAGTTAGGTCGTTATGTAAACGGCGCGTTTGGTGGGGAAGAGAAAAAATCCAGCGGAAAACCGTCAGCAATATAAAACCTCACACCTTTCTCCACCACAGCCTATTTTTGAAAACTTCAGGAAAACTTCGAATTCTTTGATTCGACCCTTCAAAAATCACACCAAAACGTAAACAAACTACAGCTTACGAGTAGGCCTAGAGCTTTTCACAAAATCATTAGTGTTGACCACTCTAGAACTATATCTCAATTTTTCTTTACAAAATACATTAAGAAAAGGCCTTTTCTTACCATGAAAATATTTTGGGCAGGAATTTTTATTTCCAAAAGGTGAGAATAAGACGGAAAAGGAAGCAGCTGCTTGCCTAGCACGAATTCTCATTGCCCTCACTAGGCCTACTTATGCAAATGACCCTAAAATAAGAATGAAACGTGCAGTTAATAATTTCTCTCTGAAACATCCGTGGAGCAAAGGATACAGGCCGGTAAATTGCCCCAAAATATAGAAGAAACCGGTGCCTGAAAACGGTCTATTTTTCTAGAGGTGTAGGCATCCATCTTTCAAAATGGCGAGGCGCCACATGACAGCTTTTCAGATTCTACCAGGATTGCCAGATTTGGACAGATTTCAGGTCTTTCATGCTGCAATGTATGAAGCCAACCTTGCACGGGAAGAAGACCTATGAAATGTAGACAAACGGGGCCAGCAGTAAGACAAAACATCCTTCCTATTCGCGTATTAATTCTTAACTAAAGCAAATATGGATACGAAACTTACATCAATGGATAAAGGTACTTTCACCCTTTCAGTTGAAACGAGGATTGCCAGATTTAGACAATGTTCAGGTCTTTTATGCTGCAATATAGGGCCTACGGAGACATCATTGCACGAGAACAGGGCCTGTATAGTGTAGACAAGTTTAGATTTGCACAAATATAGCAAGCAGTGGGAAAAGAACCCCTGCTTTTTTTCGAGGGTATTTTACTAACTTAAGCAAATATGAAACAAATCATATAGCGAACAAATATGGATATGAAACCTACATCAATGGATAGAGGGACTCTTTACGCCTCAACTTTTTAAGTCAATTTTGGCTAGGAAGAGGATCTGTGATGTGTAGACGAAGGGGGAATTGAACAAAAATAGAAAGGATTCAGACAAGAACTGAAAAATAAGGATATAAAACTTACATCAATGGACAGAGGCACTTTCGCCCTTTCAGATGCCATCAGGATTGTCAGATTTGGACAATTGTCATGTCTTCCATGTTTCAATATACGCCATCTTTGCGCGGGAACAAGACATGTAATGTGCAGACATATGGAAAATCGAACAAAGCAGCAAGTAGTAAGGTCAAAACTTCCACCCTCGTTGGTGGATATCTTCCTAACTAAAAGGAATATGGATACCAAACTTACATGAATGGATTCGCCCTTTTAGATACATTTTTAGGTCTTTTTATGATCCAATACTATACGGAGCCAACTTTGGGCGGGAACAGGACCGATAATGCAGAAGAAACGGTAATTCCAGCAAAATTTCCAGTAGACAAATCAAAACTTCTGCATTCTTTCTTGGATAGTTTCCTCACTAAAACGAATATGGATATGAAACTTACATCAATGGAAAGAAGGACGTTCACCCTTTCAGATGCCAACTTTGGGCGGGAACAGGAGAAATAACGTGCAGACAAAGCGTGAATTGGAGAAGAATAGCGAGCAAATCAGAACGTCTGCCTGTTTTCACAGATATTTGCCTAACTAAAAAGATATAAGGGTATCAAAATTACATCAATGGAAAGAAGGATATTCGCCCCTTCAGATGCAACCAAGATGGCCAGATTTGAAGCCTTTTTGGTCTTTTATGACACGATATAGGAAGCCAACTTTGAACGTAAACTACACCACTAATGTGCACACGAAGGGGGAATTCCAGAAAAATCGCGAGCAGCAGAACCTTCTTTCGCGGATATTTTCCTAACTACAACAAATATAGATATAAAACTTATATCAATAGAAAGACAAATCCTTGACCCTTCAGATGCAACCACGATTGCCAGATTTGAAGAATTTTCAGGTCTTTTATGAAACTATATAGGAAGCCAACTCTGGGCTGAAACTACAACAATAATGTGCTCACGAAGCGGGAATTCCAGAAAAATAGCGAGCAGCAGAGCCTTCTTTCGCAGATATTTTCCAAACTAAAACGAACATAAATATGGAACTTACATCAATGAAAAGAGGAACATGTGACCTTTGAGATGCAACAAAGATTGACAGATTTCTACCATTTTCAGGTGTTTTACGATGCAATATATGGAGCGAAATTTGGGCAGGAGCAAGACCAATAATGT